CCTCAAATCTTGGCAGCTGCGACGAGAAGGAAAGTGCTCTCCTTTTAGTTTTGTTTCATGAGCGCGAAGTGGCGCCTCCTTTTTTTTCTCGCTCTGTGTATCTGAAGTACACTCCAATGGACAACATTTGACGCCTTGTTCGTATTCTGTCTTACCGTCATTCAAGTTGTTCGAACGTTCAATATCCAAGCGTCAATTTTTCGCGCCAGCTTCAACCTTAACTTCAATACTCAATACGCTTCACTCTCGGGATGGTCGCTCTCAAAGAATGCTCCATGTTGTGGATCTATATGCAAATGCGACATGTACTGTGTGAATCTGTGATGTGTGTATTATGCTTCAAATCTTGCTTTTTCTCAGTTGGAGCCATATGCACGACAGTAGCCTTGTCGTGCGTTGGACAACTTGAACGGTATGGGGTACGGTGAGTACTAGTAGCCGAAGTAGTACTATATAGTGGGATAGGCTCCCGCCACCTGGATTGAGACAATGTGGAACTTCGATGGAACTTAGCCGGTATTTGGTTATTCTATCTTTCCTTCTAGCATCTCCAAATCCAATACACTGCTTTCACAGAAGTTGAACTCGATCCTTTATGTCATGATACTGTATGTCATATCATTCCAACCCACTCGTTATTCGCTCCCCAAAAAATCTGCCACACAGGTACAGCTTTACAATTCCCGGTCCAATTCGTAACTCAGCTGTTGCGCTCCCAGCATCATCCTTGTCGATCTGTTTCCGGTCAAACTTGAATGACTGTCATTTTAGACCCTATTTAAACCGCCGGCCTCCCAGTTCTTTTGGGTTCTATCACCTATCGACATTACTCTTCGTGTACGGTCTCCAGCCCTCCTAAAATATCACTGACGTAGCGTTGTCCTTCGCCTCCGTCTATCTTCGTGCATCCTACACTCTCGTACCCACGGATACTTAGCTCTTACCGAGTTTCCCACTTCCTTATGCAGATCCGTCCTGAACATGAAAATGTACACATTTGCGGGATGTGAAGAATCGACGGAGGTTTTAATCTTGCAGCATATAGTCACCGAGTGGGTACCCGAGGACAGTAGTAATATCAATTATTATCATTGAGAACTAATGCAAAAGCAGAAGCGATTTCAAAGTTCTACCAGGACCAGATGAGATTAGTAGGATGAGATTTGAGTGAAAACTAAGCATCGTCACGCTCTTATTTCTCTTACTGTATATATTCGTTGCTTACACGGATTCGCTTGTTTATTGGAAGGAGCCCAGTTTTTCCCAGCAGCCCAACTAACTTCTCAAGAACACTGCCGCATTCTCGAGGCTTATAGGAAAGTCTATCTATTGTTGAAATCAGCCAATCGAAGAACCGGAACAATCTATTCTGTACATCACTTGTTAACAAATTAATTACTACTCGGCGGTTAATTATTCTCATATTATTTCGGTCTCCAGGACATTAACGAGTCGCTTCCTGCATTATTCACGTCAGTGGCCGTGCTAGATAACCACGGATCCAAACGAGAAGTTGAATGTGTAAAGGAATGGTGTGTTGTTGGCAATGACGAGGGAAGCGGAGCTGGGGCTTGGTTATATGATGGCAAAGTGTGATGGGGCGAATCAACGGAGAACAAGATATTTCTAGTATCAAACATGGTAAGACGTGCGAGCACAAAATTAAAATAAGGGAATGTGTAAACCTACGCTGTGAGGGCATCCAACTCCATAAGGTTTTGATTAAGCACGCAATATCCGCCGGCCTGGTGGCGAGGATATTGTCCCAAAGTCCGAGTAGCTTTACGAAGCCGCAAGGAGAGTTCGAGCATGGTCTGATAGTTGGATGCATCCATTATACAGCTGCACGGTTGCAGTGTATCATGATTGCAACTGTAGGGAGAAAATGTAGCCGAGACACTACCGAGATGCTGGTCCATCTCAGCATTATCTTCATATCCACTGAATTGCGGACTCTGTGAGAAAATGCTTGAGATTCATGCTGGTGAGCTCGACAGGAGCATCATTAATTGTCGCGGGAGAAGATGCACTGGGAGGCGTGGCTATGGGAGAAGGCGAGCTCATCGGAGAATACGGAGACGAGGCCCGTAAAGAAGGCGTCGAGGGAGAGCTTGACGAAGATCAGATGAGATGTACCTGCATCATCGCCATGTTGTCCATAGCCTGAAGACTCGGACATCCATCGCGGATGAGGCTTGTTCTTCAGCTGAGCATGTATAAGTAGGAGCCATAAATATGATAAAACTCTGTTCACACTTACTTCTCGGATAACGCCCTCCAGCTCTGCTACTCTTTTGAGTAGCCTTGAGCTTTCGTCTTGGGAATCGGGTTGTTGATTAGGATCATCAACTTCATACACACAAAGACCAGTCTATGTAAGGTAAAGGATTAGCTTCATTGTCAAAGAAAGTGCATTAGAAACAAACTAACCAGCCCCAGCTGAGTGCAACGAGCGCAAGCAGGTCGTTTCCTATCACACTGTCAAAGGGATGTAGCGTCAGTTCTTCCATCAGAATACAGTGGAACTTTGGACCCTGACCATCCTCTTCGATGTATGGCAGTTAAGACAGGACTGTGTAGTTCTATTCCGTCGTCTAGCACAAACAATTAGAGTCGAGACATAATTGTTTACATTGCCCATCAGACATACCTTTTGCGATGATCAACCTTGGCGGCTGAAAGTTGAGATCGACTTTTTTCGGAGGAAGATTTCTTTCGGTTCGTGCTAGTAGTAACCTCTGTAGACATTATGTCGAGTTAGGGGTGGGATAAATGTGAATGAAGCAAGGAGAGCCCTGGTATTTGTATCAGACTATTTCTTGGCAGCCAGAAAGGCAATCGAAGCATCATACCTTTCGAAAGAAGCACTCGATATGATGTCGGATTCTCATTCGGTACAGATACTCCGAGGATAGTAGATAATCATGGTTTTGGGGACACAAGGCTTTCTCAGTGCCTTTTGTACACGCGAGAGAGTCTTCCATCGCGTTGGGAACGAGTCCACCTTTTTGTTTTGGGAAATGGCGTAGATAGCCAAGAAATAGACTAGAAGCTCCAATGGATGAAGAGCCAATCTCACCGGCGGCTCTACCGAATTGAAAATATTTCTAGGAGGCCTGAACCAATAAGAATACAATATCTGGGGTATGATGAGTACAAGTGTACATACCAGGACAAAGCAAGTCAATCATCATCAGATCTATACTCCATCCAATTCGTCCACCGGTACCGGATCGGGTATACCAAAAGCTTATGGTGAGCTAGGCGATAAGACAGGCCCGAATGTGCATGTTTCAGCAACAATCTCAAGGAAAGCATTCAGGTGAGGAGTATTCAGAATATTGACAGAATGCCGCCACAGCTCCTCAGAGGCACCATGATCCAGAGCATGGATGCCTGAAAAAAAAAATGCATGTCATGAAGTTATCTTGACCGAGCTAGGAGTCAACACAAAGCGATTATCACGTTTCTAGACATCAAAACCAATTAGAGATGAAAGAGGTAGACTGACGGAAACGACGTGGGTCAGAAAGCTCAAGCGCAGAATGTGAATATTTTTTCCGGCTGGTGTCTTTCTATGAAGATAAATCAAAGTTTAAAGGCAAAGTTTCTTACTGTGAAAGCGGTCACACCACAGCATTGAGTGGCAATCGGCCCCTGTCGTTCACAGAGCGAGAAACGTTGCCCAGGGTGCCATGCGACAGAAAGTGCAGAAGATGCCCCGAAATTAAGCATGGTTTCTCATCCATATAAGCTCTTCCGCGAAGCTCATCTGCCAAGTAAGTACAAGATGCAAGAGATGCACGGTTCCTGGGTCCGTTTCAAGCTCCCCCGCTTGCTTTATCCTCGGAGGCATAGCGCGTCAGGGACTAATACATATGACAGTCGATCTGAAAGCTCGTTCAATGGAGGATGAACACTGAGAGCTTCTGTAACTCACAGAAGTCGTACGCAGCTCTCATCGATTAGTGATCCGGCCAATAGAGTACATTAGTCCAATCTGCATTCTCACTTGGACATGTTTCAGCTAATCAAGACTCTGCGATAACGACTGGAAAGGAAAATCTCACCTTCAAACAATTTGAACGAAACACACTCTAATACCCTCGAGAATGAAGCAGTGCTAAATAAGAATAACGTAACTCAGTCAAGAACACGCGTTGACTGCGAACCCGACGAGAACTTTCCAAATTCGCACCGACTTTGCTTCCGGTGAAAGGTAAACTATACATACCGACCAACCAACCATTGATCAGTAGTTTGACAAGTCTTCCTTCCATCCATAGGTCTGCACGACCCACGGTCTTCCAGAGGGCGTGTGGGCTGCAAGGTACGTATGTAAACCCACTCCCTCAATCATCGCCCAGCCAATACCTATCTCACACCTACTTTACACAATAGCGACCACCGATCGGAAAATTTCCGGTTTTTTGACCCAATGAAACCGAACACAATACAGGACTGAGTATGTCGCGATGATATTTCCAAAAAGGTCCCGTCCTCAAGAGTCGCCTCAGGCCAGTAAAAACAAGTCCGAGGGGCTGTATGTGACCACGATCCAGCAGGTTAACAACGACACTCACCCTCAACAGCTTAAATCAGAGGAACCAATGATCTTTGAATCGTCTTCCAGAAACCTACAGAAAACGAGTGTCAGTGAAGCCCGGGTTTCTGTCATCGAAACTTGACACTGACTTGACATGAGGATCACCCTAGGACGGGCGTGATGAATTGCGATACATCAGAAGCCCATTGGAGCGAGAATTTTTGACTACCATTGACTACCAGACCAGCGAAACACCGGCGGATATTGTTTGTATAATTGGGCTTGAGGAGGTTTGGAGGCCAAGTGGCTATTGAATCTTGAATTTCACCTTTAGTTCTTCGACACTCTGCTAAGTTTTCGTGGGATTTAGAACTGACCTGGTAATCAAACGAAGAGCATTTGTCTCACGATTGAACTTGGTACGTCAAAGCCACTTCTAAGCTGACTTGAGTATGCATTAATGGGGTAGTGGTAACCTGGGTCGTTGCCATAATGCTTTGTCGACCCGCCGGGGGTTCGATTCCCTCTTAATGCATCACAGACATTGTCAACCGTCTCTTTTTGGTTTGTAACATAGTTGACACTATCAACCGATTAGTAGTAGCCGTTTCTCCGTATCCCGCCAGAACGATCGTCAGTGTATATTCGGGTCTACCCAGAGGAGACTAGCCAGAACTGTTTTCAGAATAATTCGCAACAGGACTCGGCCCGCTCACTGGCAGTTTGCGAGCTGTGGTCTTTTGCCATGTATACAGGAAGCTTGGTACGAGGTATTGTGAACCCGTTGGTTATCCTAGCCAATCGGACTGGATTGCTCATCGCTATGGTGTACAATAATGAGGACAAAGTCCAGATACGTAACTTCGACGCCCTTACCGTGCGTTAAGAGCGTTAAGACATCGCGAAACCATATGGTTTAAATAATGAAAAAACTCGCTGGAGTTCATATCGTCTGCACGCGTTGTGCTGACTCATTGTCCGCGATTAATTGAGTACACGTGGTCGTGCGCGTCAGGTGTCGGCCGACTTCTCATCTCGTATTTTTATAATGTGGTTTCTTCATGATCTTTCTGACCCCTTTACTTTATCGAGGAACGGTCGATTTTATTTCTGAAAAGTTGGCTTGACGCTTCAATTGTTCGCCAATTCGCCTTCAATATTTCAACCAGGCTTCGACGCTATGGCAGACTTTCACGATGCAAAATTGGCTTGGATACTAGGCTGGAAGGGTGGATTCGGTGCGTTCTTTCTACCCTCTAGATATATCCATTCTCACTGGCAGTGGCAAGACTTGGAACGACGTTCAAATGCGCTATCTTCCATGCTCCTTGATGGAGGTTTTTATCGCAAAAAGGCATGAATGGAGAATCCGACCTTGCCTCATGCTGAGGTGCGTTGAATATGCCTGTCATATTCTAAACTACTCTTAAAGTTCTCTTAAAGTGAATAATTTTTCAGTAGCCGATGACATTCTCCCTCTGGAGGAACATCGAGAATTCTGAACCAAGATTAAATAAATCCGAATTTGCGGCGCGGTTTACCTCGGCTCTCAAGAATAACCTATCGTTCTCCGATAGGATAAGTGAAGTGGGTAGGAAAGGATAAATGTATGACATTATTGTCTTCTCTGCTCGTTCTTCTCTGAATCTGTTGGTAGCCTTACAGAATAACAGCGACGTTCAATCACGAGATACTGACCACTCATTGAATGTATCTCTTTTGCTCCAAAGGCGTATGTTCAACGCTCCAAATGGTTCCCAGTCCACTCCTCCCAAATTCCGCTTCACGGAACAACAAACGACATGCTGTCCCTTGCAGAGCTAGAACTGCGGAATGGGATACAGAGGCAGACTTTGCATTTACCTGTGGAGTTGAAGCGCCTCTCGAGGGTGACAGCAATTCATAATGTTCACCGGACCATATTGTGGTCATGCAGATCGCATTGGGCACGGGACAAAGGTCGGATGATTTACGGGATGGACCATTGATGATTGGCTGAATCGTATATATACCAACCAGGTTGAACGATCTGACCACACTCCGTCGTTCACTCGTCGTGTTGCTATCATCTTCCGAGTTGCCTTCAAATCTCGGTCCTGGATATATCTGGAGTTGAAGGCATAGGAGTTTCGGATCTCATACACAGGTGTGCCCGTTAGCTTGTCTATTCGTCTCATTTGACTAACCTAGAGCCTATGATGATCTGATTGTCGTACTGGTCAGTGCTCTGATTCTCTTAAAGCTTCATCTTATTGACCTATCCGTTTCCCCCATTGCTGCTCCCGCTCGATAGTTTCGCATTGGTAACACTCGTTTCTTGAAACAAAAGAAGCCCAATATGCCTTCCTTCATTCAAAAGCGATCCGCTGTCCTTTTCGCATTCGCGGCTCTCTTCTCTTTCGCACTTGTCCGAGTAGCAGAGGCTCAAGCTTCAACTCTTCCATCATGCGCAACCAACTGCGTTTCGACTGCTACGCAAGCGGCTGGATGCACTAAGTGAGTAGACCAGTCATTTATGCTTTTTTCTTAACTGATGGCGGTACTCATTATCGTAGCGGCAATACCACCTGCTTATGCCAGCCATCGACGTTATCTCCTATCCTTCAATGCATTTCAGAGGGTTGCACAGTAGAAGAAAAAACGGAAGCTAACGAGGCTTTGGGCGCTGAGTGTAATGATCCCAGTGCGTATCTATGTCCATTACGTCCTTCCAGCTACTCAAGAACCATACTTTTAGTTATTAGCACCTCCGTGGTAATAACATCGGCTACCGGTACCTCTTCATTATTTTTTTACCCTTCGTTTTGCTAACGAAAAAATCATCAACACATAGGCTCATCCTCCGGAACATCTGAAACCTCGGCTGCCTCTTCGTCTAGTCGTACTGATGTGATCACCCTCACTACTACGCTTCCTGGGGGTAGCACTGCAACTATAACTGCAACTCTTCCTTCGGTGACACCGTCCCCGCCTCTCTCGTTCACAACCTTGATTCCTATTGGACCTACCTCTACCGTTACTTCATCCTCCATCTCTTCGACAGGAAATGTCACCTCCACCGTCACCGCATCAGGAACCGCAACCGGAACAGCGACCGCAACGGCAACTAGCATCGTGATTCCGCCGCCGGTGAGTATCGCGACTCCGCCGCCGGTGAGTATCACGACTAGTGCCAGTGCCAGTCCCAGTAGCGTCTCGCACCCGGTGACGACAGCATTCTCGACAGTTACTAGCGGAAATGCTCCTTCACCTACCACCAGTACATCAAATGGGGAACGTCTGGGTGCCAATGGCCTGTGGTGTTTCGGGCTGGGCCTTGTTGGTATTATGGCGGTGCTCAACAATGCTCTTTGATTGAGGCTTCTCGCTTCGAGGGAGCAGGAAGGAAGGAAGTATGTTTCACTATATAGCTTGGACACTACATGCATACTGTTGTTCGGACGGTAACTTGAACTTGATGCTGTGTAATATAGGATTCAGGTCGTTTCTTCAGTAGTGGTGTTACTCATGTTTTCCTGTATGTAGTCCAACAGGAGAACTTCATGTTCGTCTATCAATGTTGCGCCTCAAAGATATGCAGCACCAATCGTGTCTGAATGTCATGATTATAACCCGCTTCCGACAAACTAGGGATTGCAGAAACGATTTTTTGGACACACGAGCAGCCCTCAGCAGTACAAGTGGATCTTTAAATGAATTCCTCCACGCTTTTCAAGCATGTTTTTGACATTCCAGAACAGGGACCACACGTGTAGAAGGGGCACAAAATTACTATTCCCAATCGATGCAGCGTGCTGGGAGCATGTAACAGATCATATATGAAAGATAAGTGAGCGACCTTCTTCAATCCATTCCCTTCACAACACCGCAGCTTCGCCTCTGAGTCCCTTTCATCCTTCTGACGATTATTTGCCTTTTGAGCTGCGCTTCTTCAACTAGTTCTTTCTGAATCTCTATAGTTCCATATTAATTCGTTTGTGGGTATCTTTCTATTTTTTGCGGATAGTATATTGACCTGAAATTTCGCTTGGCAGATTCCATATCCATTTTCAATCTATACCAGCATCGCCAGTACCATCATGAGCAACAACGGCGTCAACCCCAGTATTACCCGCACGATGACTGGACTGCTTGAGCGCACACGTTCCCGACGTACCTTCACTAAAGACAGCTTCACTTCTCCATCATCCATACCCTCGTCTACATCCTCGTCCGCACCGTCTACGCAGTCCAAGTCGTCTAAACCAAAGGTCGACGACCTCGTTGCGGAAAAGTCGAAAGCTCCAAGCTGATCTCGAGAAAGCAACACAGGACTTGAAGGTGGCGGAGCAGGGCAAGGCTGATGCTGAGCGTCAATCGCAAGACAATTTGCAGTCGCTCACGAAGGAGCGAGAAAGGTCGGAGGCTCTGACAACGGAAAGAGATGAAGCTCTAAAGGAGGTAGAGTCTTCACGGAATGCTTTGCGCGAAGCAGAAGAGAAGGCAGCAAACTCCGACGAGGAATCTCGGGTGACTAAAGAGAAGATGGAGCAGAACTTGAATGAGGCAGAGCGATTAGGCAATGAGGCTCGGGGGAAGCTAGCCAAGGTCGAGAAGGATCTTGAAGAGGCAGAGCAGATGAAACAGGCAGCACTCATGGAGGCGGAGAGTGCAAGACAAGCTCTTGCGCAAGCTCTTCAGCTAGCAGATCGATACCGAGTAGGAGCAGATCAATTAGCGAATGAGATGCGTGAATCAAAGCAGCTGTCGCGCGAGTCATTGGAGAAGGCGAAGCAGGAGGCCGAGTCGAGCAGGGCAGCGCTGGTAGAGGTAGAGCGGCGGGTGGGCGATGAAAGGGAGGCTAGGGAGAGGGCAGAGAGGGAGCTTCGAAAGCGCAACGACGAGATCGTTCCGCATACATTGTTTGGCTATACGATGAGCACGTTCAGTATGAAGTCAAGAGATACCTCTGGTAGCTCAAGAGGGTCTTCATCCTGGACACCGACTTGTGTCATCGCCTAAACTGCCGCTCATGACCGTACATGAAAGCACGACCTCTATAGCATGTTCTTTACCTTCATTCTTTTGACCTGTATTTCCAAGATGACGCTGGTTGTTGTTGCCGGAATCTTCACCATTACTTACTTTTTTTTATCCGATTAACGCATGCTTCCATTTCATTCACCTTTTCATATGTACTTTTGCATTGCTAAAGCATTCATGTTCCACTGTAGAGTGAGATTTCGCTGCAGTATAGTGGAGAAGCAGTGCAAAAGCAGTCCGCGCGCCGGTGCACGTGGCTACGTTGACGCGCTCTCTTTCGATCTCTCATGTCGAACATAACTGCTAGTTGTTCGATACTCTGTACCTTCGTCCACCAGTGGGAAATCTATACTCAAGCCTGATGAATAAGTACTTGGGCACCGCCATTGGGACGCAAAGTTCTCCGATAACGATCTACTACCCATTTAAGGGATGCCCGGGACAGTCAAAGTTTATTCACCGCACACTGCTTCGCGGGACAGCGGCCTACAGCGGGGTCAAGTCTTTGAAATC